ACACACACACACACACACACACACACACACACACACACACACACACATTTTACAACCTGGGTTATACCCTTGCAAGGTTTTTAAATTTCTCTCCCTGAGGCAACCTGTGCCTTCATTTCATCAACCCTATAATACTTTGAGATATCATATAACCAAACCTTATTAGCGGTAATCCCTTCCTAATGACATTTCTTAAATGCCCAAAGAGAAGGGCCTAACTCAGTAATACATCTCAGATGAAAAAAGAGAAGATGAATCAGGAGAAAGCAGACCTCAGGATAAAGTTAAAAGGACAGAGGATGGTGATAATCAAGGTTCTCCATGGTCAGTGATGAGAACAAAGAAGGGAGTGCAGGGGCAGGGTAGGAGAGTAGTAAACACGTATAGATTAACTGAGTTTAGGGCCCCCACCAAGGTAAAGCAGTAATCAGGGGAGCAAACTGGGATCAACTCACTTCATCCCAGAAAGGGAGCCATGACTGTATGGCAGGCATTATCCAAGGGTCTCTGCTGTTTTACCAACAATGGCTCCAAGAAAAGAGGCCTTCTTCTCTCTGCTCTGGTCTCTGGTACAGAGAAAGGCATTTTCTTCCCCATGAGGTCACAAATATCATAGTGGTAGAAAGTCTAAGTGAGCTGCATACAACAAGAACTGGTAAAGAAGATTCCTGACGCTGATTATTTTAAATATTTTATTAATTCGGTATGCACTTCAGAGGGGCACAACTTTTGTGTACTAATAGATAAGAGAGAGAAAGTCACACTAATTCCATAAATGACCTATTGTTCTTTGAATAGTATTATTCTTTAAATTTTAACAACTTTATCATGAGCACAGTTATTTACATTTGGGTCAGAGGTAAGCTTGTAGAAACTTAAAAAGTAATGGCTCAGAGGATTTTCGAGAGCATTAAGTGAGTAATGTGTTTTGGTACCTTGTCTGAAACATTAGTAAGTGCTACATAAGCATTAGTCACTAATTTTGCTATTGTGATTATGACCCTTTGAAAATCTGATTAAAACTACCAGGACAAAGTATATTTATATATGGGAAAGCCTTAGAAGGGGAAACATTATATTCAATTATATCCCACTGGTGCATTTCTCTACTGAATGAAACAAGTCGTATTTTTGGAAATACAGACAGCTGTATCCTGTATATCAAACTAAAAATGCCATGGCAACCACTGTTCCTAAGCAATTGTAGAACTGTGTGTGTGTGGTTCTTTTTCTATATAATAAATACAAGTGGAAAGTGGCGGGGAAAATCAAATGTTGCATGATAACCTGGACAAAATAACAAAAAGATGTATTTCTTAAAGATTATCAGGACATGCTCTGTTACAACAACCTTAATGACTCCGCATAAAACAACTAGGATTAAAACTCATTGAGCAAAGGGACTCCTGGGTGGCTCAGTCAGTTGAGCGTCCGACTTTGGCTCAGGTCATGATCTCACTGTTTGTGAGTTCGAGCCCTGCATCGGGCTCTGTGCTGAAGGCTCGGAGCCTGAGTCCTGCTTCAGATTCTCTGTCTCCCTCTCTCTCTGTTCCCTCCCACTCATGCTGTCTCTGTCTCTCTCTCAAAAATAAATAAACGTTTAAAAAAAAAAACAACAAAAAGCCTCATTTAGTGACACTAAGACCGAATATGTACTTGCACATTTTATAAACATATGATAATTTATCATTTTACCTACTTATAAACCATGATAAATATTAAGAGGCAAAATTGACCAGAAGATGAATGGCAAGCATTTCTTAAAAACAAATCATCTGTTAAAAAATGAACACTCTCAGTATTAAATTTCAGTTGCATAATACTGGATGACAAAGTATTTCCATTTCTCAATATCTGAGTGTTTGTCTGCACCAGAATGCAAAATGGGACCAAATGAACAGTTCAATCAAGATAATTCTTTATTGTGCTTCCAGCCAAAAGCCAATATCCTAACGAAAATGAGGTGCCATTCTGGTAGCCTGGGAAAAGCTGCTTTACTGCAGTGCCCACATTAACTCCAAAGGGTAATAAAACCATACCAAATGTGCAAAATTAAAGAATTCTCCAAAAGTTTCTGTGGCTTCTGTGGGCCAAGACTGTCCACGAATGGTGTCCAACTCTTCTTTCCCTTCTTTAAATGTAAAATACTCTTTAAATGGCTAATTTGTCAATAATATTAAGACGTCCTTTGGCCACAGATTTTATTAAGTGTGCTTTCCACAGAAACTTGGTCAGAGAACATGGTGCAGATACTGGATTTCTGAACGTTTTAAATTTAAAGTTTATTTATTTATTTTGAGAGAGCCTGAGAGTGTGAGAGGGAAAAGGGCAGAGAGAGAGGGGGACAGAGAATCCTAAGCAGGCTCCATGCTGCCAGCACAGAGCCTGATGCGGGGCTCAAACTCATGAACTGTGAGGTCATGACCTGAGCTGAAATCAAGAGTCAGACGCTTAACTGAGCCACCCAGACACCCTTGAACTTACTTCCAATCTCAGAATTGTAAGTCATTTTCAATTTAAGTAAATGTCATTGCATTTCTAACTTTTGTCATGTGTGAAATAAATGACAATCTATATAAATAACTATATACATGTTATCTTATTGTAAATAACCATACACATTTATACAGTAATACGTGAGATACGGTTTAGGTAAACAACAGCAGGAGGCTACCATTACATACGTTGTTGCAAAAATAGCCTTTCAAATCTTTATTCACAAAATATCCAAAAAGATCTGAGAAAAACTGCTCAAAAATTTCTAATTGGGTAGTTTTCCTCTGCAAATGAACACTTCCATAGAAGACAGTATGTTCACCTTTTATAAGGAAAATGACGCAAGGTTTGAAATGAAAAAGAGTACAAAGAAATTTAGGGACATGAAAAAACACACTGTAGCAATGACAGTAAACTATCTCTTCTTTAAGCTATATTCTTTATGTGGATAAACTAATTGTAGTTGCAAAAATGTTCCAAGAAATAGGTTAGGATAAACTATTTTACTAACTTGGATCTTCACTGAATCCTCTTTGTAAACTGCACAATCAGTTGCCAAAATTAGCTTAGAAAATCAACAGCCTTTTATGTGAGGAGTTTCAGTTTAAGCTCCAAAATCACTATCTAATACTTTAATTTGCCAGTATTGAGAAATGCTTTAGAGAAATGAGACAAATTATTAAATGCTGACAGCCAAAAAGCATGAAATAGATGTGAGGGGAAAATTTTTTTCCAAGCTACAAGTAGACTGACTTATCCATAAACCTAAGGCAAACATAAGATCGACTACTTAAAATAAGGCTAACATGAAATGAAAGCTCAAAATGAATATAACAGTTAATTACAAATCACTTTGTCATGTATTATTCTTATTTATCTCTAGTTCTATTTGCTTGCACTTCACAAAAGTATGTATTTGCTATTTCTAATAGAAGGTAACTATTTCCAATAATTTCTTTCTACTTTATTAAAGGATGCTTTGGGGGAAAAAAATGTGTAAAAATGAGAACGTTATAGGTCTGTTAAACAGCGCACCCTTGTGGTCTATTCTGATTCCTGAACAATAAAAATTACAGGATAAGAATATATCCAAAATTCTTCAGGGATTTGAAAATAATTTTTTTCCAGTACAAATCAAAGCCACACTGAGATGCCACCTCACACCGGTCAGAGTGGCTAAAATGAACAGATCAGGAAACTATAGATGCTGGCAAGGATGTGGAGAAACGGGAACCCTCTTGCACTGTTGGTGGGAATGCAAACTGGTGCAGCCACACTGGAAAACAGTGTGGAGGTTCCTCAAAAAATTAAAAATAGATCTACCCTATGACCCAGCAATAGCATTACTAGGAATTTACCCTAGGGATACAGGAGTGCTGATGCACTGGGGCACGTGTACCCCAATGTTTATAGCAGCACTCTCAACAATAGCCAAATTATGGAAAGAGCCTAAATGTCCATCAACGGATGAATGGATAAAGAAGATGTGGTTTATACATACAATGGAATACTACTTGGCAATGAGAAAGAATGAAATCCTGCCAGTTGCAGCAACGTGGATGGAACTGGAAGGAATTAAGCTAAGTGAAATAAGTCAGTCAGAGAAAGATATCACATGTTTTCACTCATATGTGGATCTTGAGAAACTTAACAGAAGACCATGGGGGAAGGGAAGGGGAAAAAATAGTTACAAACAGAGAGGGAGGGAGGCAAACCATAAAAGACTCTTAAAAACTGAGAACTGAGGGTTGATGGGGGATGGGGGAGAGGGGAAAGTGGGTGATGGGCATTGAGGAGGGCACTTGTTGGGATGAACGGTGGGTGTTATATGGAAGCCAGTTTGAGAATAAATTATATTAAAAAAAAAGGTATTTTTTTCGCAGCCTATTACTTTCAATCATCAAAAACAATGCCTTTTTAAAGTTTCAAATTTAAAACTAAATTAAAATAGATATAAAATGTCTGTAATAATATGACTTTTTTATTTTAAATTTAAAATGAGCAGTAAGAGGGCATGTGGGTGGCTGTCAGTTAAGCGTCTGACTCCTGATTTCAGCTCAGGTCATGATCTCACAGTTCATGAGTTTGAGCCCTGCATCTGGCTCTTTGCCGACAGCATGGAGCCTGCTTGGGATTCTCTCTCTCTCTCTCTCTCTCTCTCTCTCTGTCTCTCTCTCTCTCCCTCTGCCCCTACCCCCGTGTGTGCACACACTCTCTATCTGCATCTTTCTCTCTCAAAAATAAATAAATAAATAAATAAATAAATAAATAAATAAATAAATAAACAAACTCTAAAAAGCAATTTAAAATAAGCAGTAAAATAAGTAAAATGTTAAATTGCCCAAATATTTGCATCTGGCTATACAATTTCAATTTGGGGTCAATTTATTTTTATGCCCAATGTAAAGTACACTAAATTTTTGTTCTCAGTCCTTAAGCTTTCAATACAACCTTGCCAAAATTCCAGCTTTTCTGTACAAGGTTCGGAAACCAGGAATTACTGGGCCAATTACTCTAAAAGTAAATTTAAGCAATTTTTAAATTATCCAAGTACTTTTGAAAATTTACCATATGTATACATGAAATAATAAAATTTTGTGAAAGTCTGTGTGACAGTAATTCTCATTGTATGTACCACACTTGACTGTATGTAAGTTCAAATTAAAGGTTACTTATTAATTCTCTTAAAACACCTATTATGTTACAATATTTTGCTGGGGAACACAATTCTTGCCCTTCTGTTGTGAAGAGGAAAAGGGAAAAACTAACAATGCTATAAACTTTAAACAATAATATAACACTAACGTTTATCTTCAGAAGATGCGGCACTTACCCCATATTGTGTTATGGCCACCAATGGAATATTACGCAGCCTTTAAAAAGAGGAAGGCCGTTATGTATTAATAAGGATTTCCAAGATATATCATTCACTACTAAAAAGTGAGGTGTAACACAGTGCATGCAGTGTATGACTAGAAAAAAAATCACGTGTAGCACAAATATTGGCTTGAATATGAATAGGTCATGTCTGGAAGGATACACAAGAAACTGTTATCAGTGGTTGCCTCCAGGCAGAAGAATTTGGCTGAGGGCAGGGTAAGGAAGGAGAATCTTCACTCCATTCTCCTTTTTATCTTTAGAAATATGTATCATTTAAATATACAACCTACGCATATATATAAATAAAGACAAAATAAAAATTCACAGGAGAGACAAATTCAGAGAAAGTAAGATCACTCTTCTGGAATCTTTAGAAAATTCTCTATGAAATGAGTGAAACCGCAGGTATAATTTGAATGGATAAATAGGAATGAAGAAGAGAACACTATGCTAAAAGAATAGGAAATAGGCTTCTGCACAAGCAATGAGCCAAATCTTACGGTTAGAGTTAAAAGCATACTGGAAATGATGAAGAATTAGAGTTTAAAACAAAACTGCATTTCTGCACAGCAAAGGACACCATCAACACAGTGAAAAGGCAACCTATGGAAATGGGAAAAATGTTTGTAAACCAAATATCTGATGTGGGGTTAATATCCAAAATATATAAAAACTCATGCAACTCGTTTGCAAAAACAATAAACAATGCAATTTGAAAATGGGAAGGGGAACTGAATACACATTTTCTTGAGGAAAATACACAAATGGCCAACAGGTACATGAAAAGGTGCTCAACATCACTTATAATCAGGGAAGCACAACTCAAAACCACAATGAAATATCACCTCATCTCTCCTAAAATGGCTGTCATCAAGAAGAGATTTGTGCTGGCAAGGATGTGGAAAAAAGGGAATCCTTGTGCACTCTTGGTGGAAAAGTAAAATGCTATAGCCACTATGGAAAACAGTACAGAGGATGTTTTTAATAATTAAAAATAGAACTAGCATATGATCCAGCAGTCCCATTTCTGCATATGTATCTAAAGGAAATGAAAATGGTATCAACAATATACCTGCAGTCTCATGTTTACTGCAGCATTATTCACAACGGTCATAATATGGGAACAACCTAAGTGTTCATGTATGGATAAATAGATACGCAGTACATACATACAATGGAGTATTAGGGAAAGAAGGAAGCCTGCCATTTGCAACAACACAGATGGACCCTGAGGGTATTACATTAAGTGAAATAAGCAAGAGAGAGAAAGACAAACAATGGATGGCATCATTTATATGGGGAATCTAAAAGACAGAAAGAGAGAGTAAAAAAAGGTTGACTGAGAAAAAAATCAGGAGAGGTTGGTAAAAGGGGACAAACTTTCAGCTACTAGAAGAATAAGGTCTGCAGATCTAATGTAAATAATGGTGACTATGGTTAATACTGTATGATATAATCAGAATTCATTAAGAGAATAGAAATTAAACATTCTTATCAAAAAAAATATGTGAGGTGATGGATGTGTTAATTAAGTAAATGGTAGGAATTCTTTCACAATGTGTATGTATTTCAATTCACCACAATGTACACTTTAAATTATCTTGTAATTTGCTCTGTCGATTATACTCCAACAAAACTGAAAAGAAACAAAAGTAGAACTGTCCTCTCCCCCAAATTGTGATTGGTTTGTAGAGGGCCTTGAATGCCTAGAAAATAACAGCCAGTTATCAAAGTTTCTGAACTAAGAAGACATGTTAAAGTACTGGTCTTCTCCTTAATCTGCACCCTGGACTTCTTTCTCTCTCTCTCTCTCACTTTTTTCAATAAATTTTTTTAACGTTTAACTATTTTTAAAAAAGACAGAGACAGAGCATGAGCAGGGGAGGGGCAGAGAGAGAGAAACACAGAATCTGATGCAGGCACCAGGCTCTGAGTTGTCAGCACAGAGCCCAACATGGGGCTTGAACCCACGAACCATAAGATCATGACCTGCGCTGAAGTCAGATGCTTACCCAACTGAGTCACCCAGGCACCCCTGCACCCTGAATTTTTCTAAGGCATGACTTCAGGAGAAGGAATGAAAGAAAGGGACAAGGAAAGATAAGGAAGGGAGACTGAATGAAGGGCTTACTAATTGGATGTGAAAAGAAAAGGGAAAAACAAAACAAAACAAAACAAAACAAAACATCAAAAATGATCCTGAGCTTTTAAATCTGGGAGAACAAAAACAACCTTTATCTCCAATATGCTGATTTCCAGGTAGTGATGAGTGAAGAAACAACCGTGAGTTCAATCTGCAACTGAAGAAAATACTGGGATTGGAATCACAGAGTTGATGTGTTCATTTCCCAGGGCTGCTGTAACAATTTACCACGACTGAGGGGCTAAACACAACAGAAATGTATTCCTTCACAGTTCTGGAGGCCAGAAGTCTGAAATCAAGCTGTCGGCAAGACCATCTCTTTCTCTGAAAGTACTAGGGGAGAATCCTTCCTTGCCTCTTCCAGCTTCTGGCTTTCCTTGGCGTATGGCAGCATAACAATTGGTCTGCATTATCGCATGACCTTCTCCTTTTTTGTCTCTGTGCATGTGTCTCCTCTCTTATAAGAACACGAGTCATAGGAATTGGGCCCAGACTAAGTCCACCATGATCTTATTTCTAGATCCTTGACTTGGACATATCTTTTGAGGGGACACTATTCAAACCACTGCAGTTGAGAACTCAACAAAGAACACGTTTTCTTTGAAAGAGTACGGTAAATGTAGGTGAAGACCATAAATTCAGGTACCTCCAAATTTAGAAAATGGGTAAAGGAAGTGGTGGTAAGAAATAGAGGTGAAATATAAAAAGAGAATCAGGACCAAGAAAAAGAGAAAAAATCAAGACCACGGGGTGATTTAGCACATCAAACATGGTGAAGTAAAGGAAATAAATGCTGAGATGCCTAGGAAGGCATGATTGTGTGTGTGTGTGTGTGTGCGTGTGTGCACACACACACACACACACACACACACACACACATCCCGAACCACGGCATAATTGTTAAGAATTTTTGTAATGAATAAATAAAAAATGGTTCTTCAGCTTCTCTAGGGAGAAACAAATAATTCTGGGTCATACTGAACAATACATCAAAGAACTCCCCAGATGTCCAGATCAAAAGAAAAAATAATTAGAAAATTATATAAAGATGTCCAGTCTGCCAAAGGCAACATACCAAAAAAAAGAAAGAAAGAAAAAAAAATTACTTAACATGGGATCATCAACTGGTCAAAGACCAGAGGGTGAGAATCAAAAGAAATGGCTTTTGGTGAGGCCACTGGAAGCACAGTCTAGAATGTTGAGAGGCAGACTATTAGAAAGACAATGTAGGCCTCTTCAGGATCCAAGCACAAGGAAGTTTACTGGAAGAGAATGGATGAGGTCATTTGGAATAAAGATTTGTGAGCAGGGGCTAAGATTTATTTCTACACAAAGAAAAAGACAGACATCGGTAACTACTCAAAAGTATAATAATTTACACCCTTGTAGTATAGTTCTATGATAATTAAAATTTTAAAACAATCCTAAAAGTGCTACATTTTAAATGACTTACTATGAAGAAATGCAGAGGAGTTACAGCCACAAAATGCAGTCTTTGGGGACACTGACTTTGCCTCTGCTTATCTCACTCAGTTTCAATCTCTGCTTCTTGTTCATGCCCAGGCAGGCCATCGCCTTCACATTCCCACATCTTTGAATGTGGTTCCTCTTGCCTGACTAAGGCACACCCACACAGATGTTAATCCTGAACCCAAAAATCACCTCTTCCGTAACACTTCACCCAATTACCTAGCAGTTACTTTGCAAAACTTTGTAGCAAATGATTTTATCATTTGAAAAAATAACTATCCTCCTGATTTGTAAGGTGAGATTTTTTTTTTACCAGACATTAGATAAGAAAATCTTTATAGAAATAAGAAGACAGCTGAATAGATGATTTTCTAAAGAGCTACTGAATTTAAGCATTTTTTGCTTCATTTCTACCCTGATTTCTATTTACATTCTAAAGGCATTTAGTTTATAAATTACAATTAAAAACTATGGTTAAAATTTTTAAAGTTAAGAAAGCATAGAAATGTTTATTAGTCGGTTGGGAAGTGTTAATTTACCTAACCATTGAGTTT